TGGCTCAACTCGATCATCATCAAAGCCTTTGGAACAGACAGAGCTGGATATAATTTTATCCTCCCAAGAATTAAAGCTCAATGGAAACCCAAGGCGAAAATGGATTGTATTGACTTGGGACTTGATTTTTTCCTCATACGCTTTCAAGATAGAGATGATCTAAACAAAGTCCTTCATGGGGGACCATGGTTTGTCGGTCCTTATTTCCTGACTATTAGGAAATGGGAACTAGCTTTTAATCCAGAAAAGGCTACGTTCAAAACAACGTCAATCTGGGCTAGACTCCCAAGATTACCTATTGAATACTATGACTTTAAAATTCTAGAAAGGATTGGCAAGATGTTGGGCACTCCACTGAGAATTGATGCTCATACTGCACATCAATCCAGGGGACAATATGCCCGTATTTGTATCCAACTTGATCTTGATGAACCACTTGTCCCCTGTGTTCGTATTGGAAATCATATTCAAAAGGTTCTGTATAAAGGCCCAATTTCATTATGTTTCTTATGTGGTGGTGTTGGTCACAAAGAAAACCACTGTCCTTTACAATTTTCTTAGATTAACCCTCCTAATGAGGAAACTGCCATCAACTCTCAACTCCCCTCTAAATCAGAAAATGTTAAGGATATTGGAATTACAGAATCTCAAAGCTTTGGCCCTTGGATGTTGGTAGAGAGGAAGTGATCCAAAAAGAAACCAAGTACTAGCTTTAAATCTGGCCAATCAAATATTTTGATGGAAAAACAGAGCAATCATCCTCAAGCAAACTCAGTGAGTGGACCCGGTGGGTTGAGAGTCGGGTCAAGGGCACCTATTTCAAAAGGGAGTGTCAGAGTTGACAGTTCATTAAATGAGACTAACGTTATTCCAAACGGTTCGAATCCCTCTCCTCAGCAAAAGAACCAACTATGTCCAGTTCCAAATGGTGGTCCCAATATAGGAAAGGCCCAAATACCCCTGCAAACCCAACCCATCCACAAAGGAGATAAGGTTCAAGATAAGATTTCATCTACCCCTACTCCTACACGTGGAAAGACCTCTTACACAAAAAATTCTACCAACCACAACAAAAACCAAACGAATGTCAAGAGTATTTCATCTGAAAGATCAAGCGCCTCTAATCCAGTTTTGGATAATGGATCCAACGACATTGACCACGCTCA